AGAAAAACTTTAATATAAGTTTAACATAACAGCAAATAACATAACATAACAGTACCTGATGATGACAAAACCTTGTCGAAACGTTGTACATGTGCTGTTATGTTAAACTTATATTAAAGTTTTTCTTGTACCTGATGATGACAAAACCTTGTCGAAACGTTGTACATGTGCTGTTATGTTAAACTTATATTAAAGTTTTTCTTCATTACCCATTCAAGCCGTCTCCAGCCATTATTAGTCTCAAAGTGGGTTCCTCGTCATCAAATTATAGAACTTATGATAATACAATGATAAAATAATAATAGTTGTGCTACAAGAAGTCTTATTACCTACTTCATAAGTAGCCATTTGGTTAATTCTTTCTTCCAGTATGACATCTTACCTTATGTGCAACTTTTTTTCACTTGCCACTAGCCTTGAAACTCCCACCTACTTCACATTTCTGTGTGGTTCAGCTGCATTGTAATATGCAAATAAGCATGTAACAACCCTCCTCCAACAAGAACACGACACACACATCTGTCACAGCTGGTTTCTTCTATACTGTAGAACCTAACCTTTACTTCTCGATTTGGCACAGTAGTGTTAATGTGTGTTATTTTTGCTCATGCTTTTACTTTAATTTATATATATCATTTTTCATGCTGTTTATTAAACCATTCTTTCAGTGGAGTACTTGAGTCCTTACCACTTACCAGCTCCTAGCCACTAAGGTGGTGGACCATGATGGCTTCCTCCTTAGTTTGCTCAATCCCACTCAGTTGAGAGTAGGGCAGTAGTATTCTGTCAATGTAGATAATTGATTATCCTCCTACTGTGGACCTGATGTACAATTCCAGATGCCGCATGGTTTTGGACTGGCTTTTTCTATCACATGCAATTCACCCCTATGGCTGGGAATCCTCCTTTCTACTGCTGCCTGGATGTCAGTTTATGGGCAATAGGTATTGGTTGGAGCTGGACCAGCTAATATAAGTCCTCACATGTGAGTGGGCTGGGACCCTTCTTGTACCATGGATTGGACGATACATTCCCAATGCTGCATGGTTTTGGACTGGAGTTGACCCTCCACTTTGCATTCTACCTTCCTATTGTCATCCAGGTGTCGGTTCCCAGGGGAACAGGTCTTGGTTGTATTAGGTATGCGCACGTGATTGCTTGGGTTCTCAGAATGGAAGTGCTCTTTCCCTTCTGGTTCCTGAGTATCAGGTGAAGATTGTAGAGGACCCTCCTCCTACTGTGGTCTGGATGATCCATTCCCGATACTGCTGGTTTTGGACTGGAGTTGACCTTCTGATTATAGTCCAATATGCATTAGCCACTGTACACCATGGGCGTGTCCAGGTACAGTTGATCAAGGACCCTTCTCCTACCAGGTGACCTACTCCCAGATACTATGCTTTTGGAATGGAGTTGACCTCTAGTTTACAGTCTGGATAAAAATGGTTGAGTACTCTCCCCCTACCATGGAGGGAATGATCCAATCCCTATTCCACTGGTTTTGGACTGGAGTTGACCTCCTAACTATAGTCTGATGTGCCCTATCCATGTAATACCTAGACTGCTTATGACAAATTTTTGTATGTTCATCTTTGCTGCCCATTTAGCAATACATCTATTCAATGAGGGTGAAGGGTATACCTGGTTCAGATGTAGTGCAGTCTTCCACGAGTGTGTTCCTAGAACAAGAGAAGTCATACTCAATGGGCATTCTTCAGATGCTTTCTGAAGGGTGCTCATCTAGGTAAATTGTAGGTGGGATTCTAGCTATTATGTGAACAGAGGTAAGATAGTGTATCAGAAGTTAATATTATCCTACACTGAAAATATATTTCTGTTAGATACCTTCCTACTCTCACACTTCCAATGCTTCTTTTCTGCCTAATCTTGAAGTGAAGATTTGGTTCTACACTATAGAGGGAGCCAGCTGCAACAAAAGTGTGTATCATGCTCCTTTTGGTGGAGGGTTGTCACATGCTTATTTGCATGCTGCAATGCAGCTGAACCACATAGAAACATGGAGTAGGTGGGAATTTCAAGGCTAGTAGTGAGCAAAAACACTTTAACATATAGAGGGCAGCACTGAACAAGAAAAGCTATTATGTGGTAGGAGGTAAGTATCCATTGGAAATATATTTTCAGTGTAGGAAAATATTAATTTTTGGTTATAATATTTTTTTTTTGTCTTGATCTTAAAACATCAACTTTTTCTTTTTATTGATATAATGATAAAATAATTATACTAGATTTATTATACTTTTTATTTGAAGTACTTCCACCACCATTTATAATTATGTAATGAAAAGTTAGCATAACATGGCAGTATTTTAAAGTAATTAAGTTATTATCAATTAATTTTTATGTATCACTGTTTACACTTGAAAAAGAATTAAAGAACATAAAAGTATTTTTATAATTTAAATAGATATGGGTTTATTCATGAAAATGCATTTTAAAAACATTGCTCTGGTAAAGTAAATATCAGTTCGAATTTCAGAATTCAACATTACTGAGTTTATTTAACAGCATTATCAAGGGCAAATTTGTTAGGATGAATTGAAGTCACTTCAGAAGATATTTTTCTCTTAGAGAATTTATAATTTTTACTGATGTAATTAGTACAGTTACTTTCCAAACTGAAATCAGAGCCTGGAACAAAAGTTATCGGAATGATCATTAGATATTGTCATTTGGTGCCCTACTAACTGACAGAAAGAATTTTAATTATATTCACCTATACACATACACAAAATAGATAAATGTGTATATTTCAGGTACAGTTATTGCTTCTGTAATGGCAAAATATTATATGAAGTTGACTGAATATTTTTTAAAGTATATAGGTACTCTGGATGTTCCACGACCTAGCAATAGATTGGAAATAGTGGCTGTCATGAGGCGTATTAGGGTAAGAAAATACAACATTTAAATGTTTGGTTTCCCTTTGTCTGAAGTTTTATACCACCTAATTTAAATATTCTTGGTAGGGCATATACATTTATCAGTGATGATTGCTTTTTCAATTTTTACCAGAAATCAGGTTTTTTCTTTATTTTGGACCAATTTTGTGAAATGTGTAAATCATTACTGGTGTTTTTCATAGTTAAATATCTCTTAAAAAAACATTTTCATTTTGCAGTAATTCATATTGAATTAATGTAATTGCCACAAAATGTTAAATGTTTTATGAGTGCAAATATAAGTTCACAGAGAGATGAAGGGAGTTTTTGTTACTTTATTAATTTCACTTCAGTCTATTTTTTATATGTTAAATTATCGATTCATCACTTATGTGATGTATGGTTGATAGCCTTCTGTGTTTGTTGAAGGAGTAAAGAGAATGTTGTTTTGACAAAGTAATTGACATCATTTCATTTTCCTTTCACTCATGAATCTGCTAAACCATACTGTATTACAAGAAGTCTTATTACGTACTTCATAAGTAGTCACAGGGTTAATTCTTTCTTTTGGTTCTAATATTTTGTATTTATTTTTTGTCTTGATATTAATACATCAAGCTACAGATCTTCTATATCATTATTTAACATATGTATGTAAGATATTTCAAAATTTATTTGTTAAATTCTTTCAAATTAATATTTTGTTTTATTGTAGACAAAAAAACAAAACAACTAAAAATATTTAGTGAATTTGTGTATGTTATAAAAAAAATGTAAGATTTGTTATATTCAAAATATATATCAAGCAGGAGAATAGGTTTTACAAGCATCATGCATGCTTTAATACTGTAATAGTGTTGTTAAGAAGTATATGTAAGGTGAATTACTCATAACTTCACTTGATTCAGTGAAAAAACTAATGTTTTGCCATTCACTTGACTAACTGCTAAATTAGGATGTATTTAAACATCTTACGAAACATCCATTGCTATGAAACTGTAATTAATATAATCTGAGGAACGTTTTACTTCTTTTTGTGTGGATTATTTGCAACAGTTAACTTTTTCAGAAGTGATCATTTTTTTTTAATAAGCGATTTTGAAAAATAAAATACAAAAGAATCCTGGATTAAATTGTTAAATTGTCTAGATGGAGTTCTACTGATCTCAGTATTATCTACTCTGGTTAGAACTACTTTACTGTTGGATAATGGAAACGTTTTGTAGAATATGATTTTTCTTTTTTCTTACAGTATGAATTCAAGGCCAAAGGTATGAGGAAGCGAAAAGTCAATTTAAATATTTCTGTAGAAGGTATAAAGGTTAGCCTTAAAAAAGGAAAAAAGGTTAGTAGAGTAGTCTGAATATAACAATACCAACATAATGATTGTATGTTTAAGTAGACTTTATTGCTTTGAATCTCATAACAATGCATTGTAACCTTCAAAACCTTTTTATTAGGTAATAAGACATTGATGATGAACACAAATAAGTTCATATCTCCACAGTAATGTGTACAATGGATTGAAAAGCTCTGTTTGTCATGGGTAGTTAACGTGTGGTACTAATGAGCTTGTGTTGTAAGTTCCTAATAAAATTGGCTTGTTTAGAATATAAACTTTTTTTTTCATAAATTAAATGCATTGTTAAAAAAAGAGCCAAAATGTTTGGTCATCATTGGCAAGCTATAAGAAAAGTTTACTCTGTAATATGTTGGCCAATGTTTAACAAAACTATTTGCTTTGCTATAAATATTGTGCTTTAGAAGATTAGCTTTTAATTAAAATTGATTCATTAAAAAGCATGGTAAGAGCCCAGGGTAATTAAAATTATTTTGGTCATAACTATGACCCTGGTGATCTTTTCTTAGTTCTTAGAACTCTAACTTTCAAATAATGAATTACTCTACTTAATTACTTCTCAGTGACCAAATTAACAAGTCAGTTGGCTTTAGACTTTCACATTGTTATCTATACTATTAGAATTAAATCAATGATGTTTGTCTTGTGTTAATTTGATGTTTGAAGAAAATCTGGAACTAAGTGCATTGGCTTAATGGTTTTACTATGACTGTAGGGAGCACAGTGCAAGTATATGTTAATGGTGATTTTTCTAGTATCTAATTTAGAATTCATATAGAACGAAGCTGTAAAAATAGATATTCAGAGACACTTTTCATTTCTGTGCAGAAAACTACAAAATTACTTTGTATGCACTTCTGTGTAAGTTCCTGAGCATGTCATAATCCCTGACCACAATTCCCATCCCTACATGTGTCAACATGTATTGCACCAGCCTATGATGTAATCATCATTAGACTATAGCCCTCCACCAGTAGGAGAGTGATATATCCTCCATGTGCTGTCAATTATTTTTTGTGACAAAGGATTTAATCCTAATTTCAGTTATTTTACCTGACACTAATAATAGTAATTGATGGTCACAGGTGATCATGTTAATCACATACCTTTAATGTCTGAATGGCTAAAACCTGGTTCTGCATTGCTCTATACACTGAGAAGTTAATCTAGATATTTATAAATTAGAATTTCAAGGTTTGGTTGAAAATACCATTCCATCAAACTTTTTTACCCAGAGAAGTATAACAGTAATATTTAAATTGAGATATAACTGAAAACTGAGGATCTTTTAATCAAGCCTAAAATCTAAGAATCACAGTGTCATATACAGCTGTTAAGTATGATATATTAAAATGATTTTGAAATCTCAACATGTCCTTACAGTCCATGTCACCAAAGTCCAGTTATACTTTGTCTGACAACTATGCTCTGCAGCAAAGTTTCCTTTGCAAAATGCTTCATTCTAAGACTGCCATGTTCAAACCACACCACTTGTCTCATTTAGGATGGCTGATCCAACTCATCATTTCAGTCTAAGAGCCACCCTATATTCCATTCACTTGAGGATCTCTCTAACTTCGTATGTGGGGCAGGTTCAATCTACTTTTTTGTCTTAGTGACATGGAATTTTTGATGTCAGGGCTCTCATATATCCTTAATTTCATGCAAGAGTTTTTTTAGGATTCTTTTCTTTTGTGTCCCTCATTTCTTTTGGTTGTGTTCATAAGCGTTCACTTCAGTGGTTTCTTGCCTGTCATTGTAGCTATCTCCAGAAATAAACTGTCTTCTTTTCATCTCTTGAGGCTCTGATGGCTCACTCAATTTTACCTATCCTTGCTTTCATCTCCCTCCAGTTATCATTCTCCACTCTTCACAGTAGTTCTAATGGTGAGTTGTTTATTTTACTCTTTCATAGGTCACACAACCATCCTATTCAAACTATATATATTTATATCTATATTATGGTTACAATGGAACCCACCAAGTAGCTGTTGTTGCCTCACAGGGAATACATAAAAAAAAAATCAACAACATCTGGTGTGGGCCTGTCCTCACATCTGGCTTGTGCTTGCTGTCTTTAGTTGTGGTAATTCATTGCATTATCTCAGTGTGGGACCTAATTTCAGATGATTGTGCTTGATGATAATGGTCCATACATCTGTTTGATGTTCTCCTTCACTAAAATTCCCTTCCCCCATTTCTTTTAGTAAAGTATTGGAGAACACTTGCCTCCCCAAACTCAAGCCACAGAGAAAGTCAATATGGAGAGTTCCTCATCAGCCTAGTGCAATCTCCTAGTATGAGACTGGGTGGATACACCTCTTGTTTGGGAATAAGGACTGGGTATTACCTGATAGTGTAGTACATGACACCACACAATGTTCCAAACCAAGCCTTTTCTGATGATTAAGTCCAACTGGATGGGTTTTGAGCTCACCCTGGGAAACAGGTCTGGGATGTTACTCCTTTATCTTATTTTTGTGTTAAATATCTTACATAAGTATTTTTCGTACATGGAATGGTCTGACTTATAACCCAAGCCACATTACACATTCATGGTTGGCTGTCTGCCTGTACAATAATGGATGGTTGAGCAATCTGCCATTCTCCCAATCTTATGGCAATTTCTTTTGCTCAGCCATCTTTGTTGGGTGAAAAGTATTCCCTGCTTGAGATGGATATGGTTTTCTACCCAGTGCTGCCCCACTAAATTGCCACCACATCATGGATGTCACATTCTGTGGGCCTTCCCATTCTGATGTGGTTTTCAGAAAGGAGCTCATCTTTGTAATATATGTGCACTAGTTTTTCCATCACCTTTAATATGGGATTCTAGCTCTTTGTTATGTAAAGATAGGTGAGTAGCATTTCTGAAATTAACATTTTTCTTACCTCTCAGCACTATCTTCCACATTTTCTTCCCACATATGGTGCATTTAGTTTGCCTTATCAAGAATGAGTCTGTGTTCGAATGCTAGTGCTCTTGAAGATTACTGCCAATACTCACCAGTACTGAGTACCGGAACCTATTTTTTAAAGTGGTACTAGTACCAGGACTTATTTGAGCTGCCATGTCATTTTTTATGCTTACATGTACATTTTTTTTTCTTTTTCAAAAACTGGTCCACTTTACCCAGCTGAGTACCTCAACTTTTTTTCTTTTTTTTTAAGAATTTTACCCCTGGTTTCTGCACATGGAGGATGTATTACCCTCATATTGATGGAGAGTTATAGTCTCAACTGTTACAGTCTTTGGTATCATGAAGTCTTTACATATTGTCTAAATGTAATGTTAACCCTAACAAGATATTGTATAGTGGCAAAAATCTGTATTTCAAGTCTTATGTACTGTATTATGGTAAAGACTGTGCATTATTTCTTAATGTTAACCTTAAGAGTTTGGCATATCATGTCAAAGAGTGAGCTTCATGTGTAAAATTCAACCATGACATATTACAATATAGGGGTATGCATTTCTGTAACCTTCTATATAATGAGTAAGTTATTTTAATATTTAAAACAATGGGTTGTTTTTTTAACATTTAAAACCATGCTTGAACAAACCTCAACTTTGTTCATCAGGTTTACTATTGACATTACATGTGCTAATTTTACATAGTGCAACTGTAGTCATTTTTGTTGTAATGAAATGATTCTTATATACCATTGTTGTATTTATTTCTCCTAGAAAAACCATTGGGTATTAAATGACAACAGATTTTTATTAATGCAACATCCTATATACAGGTAATTTTTTATTTTTACTAATGTTAATTAATCAGAGCTTCCTTCAGAGTTTGAGGATCATAAAGTTGGGGTCCTTGCACTGGGTATTGTAAGATAATGCTTTTAGGGCCAAGCATGTTATAGCATTTTAGGTGATATTGATATCTACTGCAAAGGAGGCAACACTGTGATACTACATGATGATATATTTGGGCTCTAAATACTCAAACTTTTGATTTTGTTTTCCTTAGTTAAGGTGAAAGCAATTTTTTTTCTTTTGCTAGAAAATTGAATGTTGTGCATTGAATGTGAATGAATATTTCTTGAATAATTTAACCAAAGTTTTATACAGTCTTTTCAAACACTGCTATATTTCTTGTATTTCATAGAGTATGAATGAAAAGGTTATATCAAGAGCAGACAGCAGAAAGAGCAACTATTAAATGAAATTTGATGATTCTTTTAGTAATAGAAATAGCATATTAGTAAATAAGAAATAGAACGTATTGATAACTAAATATATTTAGCATAGGTTAATAAAGCAATTTCTGTTGACATGCTCTTGAAGACCATTGGTTTTTGAAAGTATTTTGATCAAAAGCCATTAAGAATGAGTTTATGGGGTGTAAAGTGCCTTGAATTGGAAATGAGACTAATTCTGTGAAGACCAGTAATTGATAATGAAACCAATTTTAGAGGAAAACGAAACTTTACATGTAGCTTAGAACTCTTTCTAAACATTGAAGCCAGAAATTATATTGGTGGTGATATTTTTTAAGGTGTATATTGCTTTACTTTTAACAAGGATAAATAAATAAAAATCCCTTTATTCAGTTTGTTGCAAGGAAGAAAATGTTGTGTATGCTAATTTGCATGTAATGTTTTTGATAAAAGGAATGAAGACAGTAAGTAGTACTCAATACTCATCTTCCTTTATTGAATTATTAATTTTTAGCAAAAATACTTTATTAGAAATTCTGATTTTTTCTGTACAAAAGACTTGTATAATGTTTACTGAAAGCTTGCCAAATTTCTTGAAGATGCATAAATCATATCATATCAGAAAATGTAATGATACAATGATATCACGACTTTACGATACGATACTCGTTAGTTTATAGAATTTATCAATGAGTTTTGCAATATGTTTTACCTGTAGAAATTATAAGTCTACACATTTATGTTACATAATTGTGTTTTGAATTTTCTAGGATATTTTATGTTTCTCATGACTCCCAAGACCTGAAAATCTTCAGTTACATTGCAAGAGAGGGAGGAAGTAATGTTTTCAAATGCAGTGTATTCAAGTCCAAGAAAAAAGTAAGTAAATTATAATAACAATGCATTAGTAATGATTCCACATGTGTGTTAGCATTGTATTTTTAGCAAACTTATTCAAAGATATTATTAGATATTCTTACTGATGCTCAAGCTAGCAGTTCCTTCATTATTTACTACATTTTTGCTAAATTCAGTGGGTTGACAGCTGGCATATATAAACTTCTTCATAAAGTAAAATAGTAAGAACAGAAACACAACTACAGTGGATAAAAAAATTAGATTTTTAGAGAAAAATCACCTTTAAATCACTATGATAGTAATTTATTTACTTGGCGATGTTTCAAGCAAATGCTTTTTTTCAAGCCAGAAACAAGCCTGTCGGTTAATGTCATTAATGTCAGACTTGTTTCTGGCTTGAAAAAGAGCATTTGCTAGAAACGTCGCCAAGTAAATAAATTACTACCATAGTGATTTAAATGTGTCTTTTCTCTAAAGTCTAATTAATTTATTTTATTACCTTCACATTTTTCTATTAATTTATAATGGATAAAACACCAACTGAATAATTTTTCTAAGTTTTCACTAATCACTAAGCTTCTTTTACAAGTGTTTAACCTTCTTGCTACAGGCTCAGCCAAATTGACCGAGTTTGTGACCCCAGATTGATCTTTTTGGTTTTCATACTATAACTTTCAATATGTTTTGTGTATCTTCAAAAAGTTTCACAAGCTTTCAGTAAGAAATAAGTGTCTTTTTTGTGGATAAAAAATCAGAATTTTTAAGGAAGTATTTTCACTATAAATTTCTCTGTGAACATATTGAGTCAAAGTGTTGACCGCTTCTGGTGTAAAGAGATTTTCATGTTAAGATTAAAAATACTTTTCATCATCTGAAAATTCTCAAATTTTGTTTTCATAATCTCTAAAACCTCCTCAATAAATTTCAGTAAAACTTTATATTTTATTTGTTATTTTTTTTCCCTAATCCTATACAAAGTTGACCGACCTCGTAACCACCATAAAAAAATGAAATAAATTTAAATTACCCTTTTTTTTCTAGCATAACTACAAATTGTAACACAAAACTGCATTTTTATTTTAAATAGCTTTAAACTTGTAACAGTACACTTAAATTTTATTATTTTGTTGCTCTTTAAACTGTGTCTAACTAATATTCCTGCCACACAAGTTCTAAGTCATTTGGCAAATGTGCAGCTCACGTTACCCTATTGAATTATGTAATGCATGGGCTAATAGCAAGTATTTTACCTTATCTAACCTAAAATTTTTTATTTTTTACATTTTAGTTACTTTTATAATAATAAATAAAGAATACATATGAATAACAAGAAATATAGTACTTACTTGGGTCTTTATTTTTGCTGTTAACTGTCGAAGAAACTTAACCCTGCATTTTTACACTATTGCACTAAATAATTTTTTATTTAATGACATAATACACCAAACGACACTGAATAATAACACACACAAAAAGCAGGCAATGTCCTATGACTATCACAATTTTTCTGGCTTTCTAACTGTTTGATAAGAGCTGTTTAGAATTCAGTTAAGCTCAATGGTGCATTTCCCATGGGAATAAAGTTTGAACTGAAAATGAAATAGACAGTTCTCTGTACAGGAAAGAACATAATATAAATTTTAATATTATATAAGTTTTAGGTTCTTAATTTTATAACAAAATATTTTAAAAATATCCTCAATTTCCCATAATGTGAGAATTGTGACATTTGCTCTCTATGTATCCTCTCTTCTCTAGTTTATTTACCACCCCTCCCAGAAGTACAAAATTTAACATAATTCATTCATTATAATATTGTTATTGCTCAGGCAAAGCATAAGTTTTATAGACTTCAATCTTATTTAATTACAGAGCCATAAATTAGAAAATCAAATCCTTCTTGATACACCCACCTGTCACATCCTCTATTTCACAAATTACCAATAGTTCTCTCTGATGTTTAATACTATATTAATTATAACCAAATAAAAACCAAAGTTTTAATCTATCAAATGAGATAATGCATTATTATCTATGTTTTGATGTCAATTTTATTCATATACCATGATGATAAAGTACTTTAATTAAATTATGAACATAAATCAGTAAAACCTTGTGATATGTGCATCAAAAGGATGCTTGAATGGAAAGAGTTAATACTTTTTTGTTCTGTACAGAAATAAGATATATGAAATGAAGAGACATTAAAATCTTCTATATTTTATTTCAGTCAAGAAAAAAAAAAACTGTTTTTGGTTACCTGACCTACCCTGTCTGAAAATACCTGACCCTGGTACTTTCAGTGACATGGTTAAGAAATTAAATAATTTTACCTGGGACTATGAGTTTTTCAATAAAATATGATCATAATTTGTTTACCAACTGTGCCATCTTTTTCAACAATTTTGGAACAAAATATTTACTATGTTGGAGTTCCAAATGAAAATATAGCACTATGGAGCACTGACAAGTCTTATGAATATCAGAAACACATCAGCAAATGAAAACATCTGCTGCAGAAAATAAATATTTGACAACACTTTCATGTCTTTGTTTCAAAATACAAATGGTATTGTAGTGTAGAACTTAAGAAATGCCCTAGGAAATGTGAGCAATAATATATATGGCACTGATTGACATTGTGGGTCATTAGTAACTGGTCATGAAAAAAGTATCTTCCCCATGGTTTTTCTTGTAAACTTTGGGCATTAAATTTTTGAATTTTGATAAAAGCTATTAAGTCATTGAGAAATTTTGACTTAATATTTTTTATAAAAAAAAGAAAGAAAACAGTTTCTTGTACACAACATTTTTCCTTGAAGTTTATGTCATTTACCATGTGTGTATTAACTAAACATACATTGCCTTTTGCTATCAGACATTAGCATTTCACTCAGGAAATAGAAGCATTTAATGTGACAGCTCTAGGTCACATGCACTTAAGAAAACTGGATCATAAAAGAGTAGAGCTAAATGCATACAAAAATTTATAAGATGAAAAAATTCCATGCTTACCTAACCTAATTTTAAATTCATATGTAATAGGAAACTTTTTTTTCTTTTGTTTTAGTTATCACACCTTGAATATATGTAGATTTTTTTTTTAAAGCTTTCAGGAAACTAAACTAAAGGGTTTTTGTACTTGTCATCAGGATTGATGAGGACTTGAACTACTACTACCTGTAACAGAAGTTATAATTTTTAATTAGTTTTCTTTAAAAAATAAATCATTAAGTTCATAAACTTGACTAATCATATGTATAATAATTTATGAGCATTGATTGTAACAGGATTTTATGTACAAATGAGAATTTATTATTGTAGTAAGAGCAACATACCATTATTTTTGGTACATCAAAATATTTTTCAAAATGCTTCTGCTTTCATTTTGAAAATCCAGAATTTCAGTTATGTGACTTGTATGGTGTCAGATATAAAACTAATTACAGAAAGAGATGTATTTATGTAGTTGGGAATTGCTGTTAAGCATGGAGAAATTGTAAGTTATATTTTGAAATAGTGACTTAAAAATCAGATGTATGATTAATTTTAGATTTCCTACTTTAGCTGTTTAAGAACAAAAAGCAAATGTACATGTAGTTCGTGAATATCTATTGTTGTAGTTCAAAACAGTTTTCAAAGTACCACAGACAAATAAATCTCATTGCACTCTTAAATGAGTCTGATGAACTGCTAAAAGTGGGGGTATTGTTACTTGTAATATATATAGTGCTAGATTGTGTATATTAACACTTTAACCACTGGTACCCTTTAAACACTTTTCTGTGCAAGTCATTTTCTTAATAACTAACTAGACTAAGGATTATGTTATTATATTATAATTTTAGTAATAATCATCTTTGTAACACAATTTTCAGATTTTGCTGAAGATGGAATAAGTTATTCCGAAATGTTCGAACCTTGTAAATTAAAGCTTTAACAAAGTCCTAAGAGGTTTTGTGAAGAATGCTCAGAGTTACCGTATGTTTTTTGTATAAATGTTCTTCCCCAGTAGAAATGATACAAACTGCATCATCCTGAGTCAGAAGAGTTAATAAACCTTATATATATCTAGTTCAAATGTAAAGTTATTTGGGCTTAAAATTTTCACCATACAGCATCCTCATCAGAAAATTTGAAGAATCCAGAATTCTACTATTTAAGATTAGTTATGCCCAGTGTTTTCTTCAACACACATTTCTTGTATTTTCATGGAAAATAAAATGATTAAGATACAGCTAATTGGCAGAGAAGTAAAAGACATACCTTACATTGCCCTTGCTTTATATCACAAGTTAAATTTTATAAATTTGACATTATTGTGAGTACTTTTTTTTTTAAAGAGTTTGTCAAAAGATTGCTATTTTTCAGTTTTTGGATGAAGAATGACAAAAAGTGTTTTTCAGTTCTGATAATAACTGATGCAATTGTTTTTTTTCACTTTTGCTACAACAAATTTAATTTTTCTTTGAAAACATGGTGGAACCAGACACATCCTCTTCCTAAAAAAAAAGGGTCAAAACAATTAAAAATTCTGATGTTTTTATGTTTTGTGTAAAAACATAAGAACAAGAAATAGAAGTTTAATAAAAGTTTTGTTATACATTTTTTTACTAGCAGAGCTAGTCAATTCTACAGTTTTTGAATAAGTGATTGCCTTTGAGTTACTTCAGAAAAACTACAATCAAAATTGAAAATTCAAATTCTAAAAGTGGGGGTTTTAGGGGAATAAACTAGATTAGCAAAATGAATCAAACAAACCATTCTAAAATATTTAATTATGCTTAGAGAAAAATGACAGATTTAAATTTAAACAATGTATTATGACATGATTGTATTTCAGAGTTAATCATTGTAAGTAACCCAGGTATTTGTATGACCTATGTTAACAGCATCCTCTTAGGCTGGCTGTACAAAAATGTAAGTATTAGTTTGACAGATCCCTATGACCATTAAAAAAATAATATCTGAAAGTAATTCTGTTTTTCTAAACTTAAAAAACTAAACTACCAGAAACAACA